TAGTTATAGTTAGTTATTCTGAACTCCACCAACGATGGAATTGAACCAAACTTGGCACACAGAACTCACATGACCAACAGAAAACACTGAAAGGGAGTTTTGGAGTTGAGTTTTGGAGTTGTAGTTCACCTACATCCAGAGAGCACTGTGGACTCAGACAATGATGGATCGGGGGTAAAACCGAGAGCAGGGCCTCCTCGGATGTTCTTAATCTCCAAGCTGGTTCATAGATAGATTTTCTGTAGTATAAATTAAAAATATTTGCTTAAGATATATATACTTCAGTGCTAATTTGTAGGTTTTCCCAATATGTTACTTCTGGTTCCCAATCTTCTTTCCATATATCTTTGACAGGAGAAAAAAAAAGGCTAGACCTTCCTAGAAGTGTCAAGTCACCTTTCAGATATTTCTGGTCCTATCTTTATTGTTTAACACAAAATGCTACATGCTTTTTAAAGCCAGCACTAGCTGGGCAGCTATTTTGGATGAATGGATGAATTTAGCTTTTTGAGTAGCTACTTGTTATACTCTCCTGAGCATTTCTGACAAAAAGAGAAGGAAACCATCTATAGGAGGAAGTCAGCAGTAGCTCAGTTCCGCTGCAATGCCTTTTATGCTGGGGATACACTACTCCTTCGGCTGACCACAATTCCCAGAATGCAAACACTGAAAATACTTATCATATTCATTTTTTAAACCAAGGGATCTATTGCACCACTCACTATTATTTTGTATCATGTTCAAGTAATTGGTTAGCATATTTTAAAATGAATTTTCAGTCTTCATGCATGATTAACAGGGCATAAAGCAATGGTGGACAGTATGTGGTTTGTGGGCAACATGTGGAACCATTCATTTTGAGGCCCTGCCAACCTGTGCCCCATTCTCCTCTGGTCTCAGGGAGAAAAATGATCGCCTCCCAATGGTGAATCATATTCCAGGAAGCCAGATTCCCTTGTAAAGCAATGCAGAAGAATACTCTTGCATTTTAGAGATTATATATGCACTTTCCATTTTCACAAGATTAATGGGAGCTTCTGAAGTGTGGACTACAATCGCTGAAGCAATTGAGTACATTGAGTTGACTTCACCCATAGACAACATGGAATGATTAAGTATATGATGCTGTGTGCCTTACAGAAAACAGATGGTGTCACTGGGAATTAAATCTGTGACCTCCTGTACTCATGGATGCTTTTTGCACGACTATACCATATCCTTAGAGTGATATAAAGTTCATTTGGGGTCCTAAAAAGATTCCATAATAAGCACCTTTCCCTTAGAATCAATTTTGTCAATTTATGCCATCACTTTTTATAAAAGGTCTCTTGGGGGGTGGGATGGAAGATTTCAATGGCATCACTGTACAAATTACTTTTTAGATCTAACCTTATTTGTTACAGATGCATTTCATTTTACTCCACCTCCCCACAAAAGGTATTAACATTTACTACATATACCCTGGACCCTCCATTACAAATTCGTAGACTGGAATCAGCTTGATGGAAATTGCTTGCAACCCTAGAGCTCAGAACCCTGGAGACCTGATTAGCAATTTAGGATTTTACATTAGTAAATGTAATTAGTCGAGAGAAATTACTGGAACAAACAAGCATGAATGGCTGAGGGCACCACAAGCTTCAAGCAATGTGCTCATCAACAGGGAAGCATAAAATCATGTTATATTTAGAGCAGCCTGATGGAAAGCATTCTATACGGTTTAAGAAGCACAAACAAAATCAACAGAAATGATGTTATATTTTAAAGCTGGTATGAGGGAAGCGAAACAGGTATCCAAATCTGCTTCAGTGATTTGCTCTTAATCCTGAATAGGTATTTGACACTGGGTGGAAAAGGACCTAGTGCAGTATAATATATTGTATATAGATATAATATCGATAATATTATAATGTAATACAATATAATACTAATATATTATAATTATATATTTTATATTAAATGTAATATTACTAATAATATTGCAATATAATGTTATAGTACAATGTAATATATAATATTAATATTGTGCTATGGTAATATAATATATTCTCACCCTTCGTGGTGAGAAGGGCGGCATATAAATGCCGTGAATAAATAAATAAATAAATAACTTCTCAATCTTCCTAATGCCGCAACCCCTTAACACAGTTCCTCATGTTGCAGTGACCTCCAACCATAACATTATTTTCATTGCTACTTCATGACTGTAATTTTGCTACTGTTATGAATCGTAATGTAAATATCTTGTATGCAGGAAGTATTTTTATTCACTGAACCAAATTTGGCACAAATACCCAATATACCCAAATCTGAATACTAGTGGAGTTGGGGTCGGTATTGATTTTGTCATTTGGGAGTTGTAGTTGCTGGGATTTACAGTTAACCTACAATCAAAGAGCATTCTGAACTCCACCAATGATGGAATTGAACCACACTTGGCACACAGAACTCCTTTGACCAACAGAAAATACTGGAAGGTTTTGGTGGGCATTAACCTTGAGTTATGGAGTTGTAGTTTACCTACATCCAGAGAACGCTTTGGACTCAATGATGGATCTGGACCAAACTTGGCATGAATACTCAATATGCCCAAATGTGAACACTGGTGGAGTTTGGGGGAAATAGATCTTGACATTTGGGAGTTGTAGCTGCTGGGATTTATAGTTCATCTACAATCAAAGAGCATTCTGAACCCCACCAATGATAGAATTGGGCCAAACTTTCCACACAGAATTCCCATGGCCAACAGGAAATACTATGTTTTCTAATGGTCTTTGGTGACCCCTCTGGCATCCCCTCGCGATTCCCCCAGGGGTTCTGACCCCCAGGTTGAGAAACACTGACCTAGTGACTTGCTTTGTCGTGTCTGCGCAAGCAATATGTATTTGTTTCCCTTGCATAATCAGCTACTGGAAGGATTTGAAAGGCAGGCATACAAATAAAATAAGGGGCTCTAGTAGAGGGCAATCTGTTCATGTTAATGTGGTATTTGCTCCTGGTAATATTAAGCACTTATCAGTTGTGTTAGAAATAAGTATTGCAAACAATATCTACAGCAGGGATAGTGAATAAGCAGTCCTTCACATGATATTGGACTTCCCATTAACAACTACATTCTCACCCTTTCCCACTCCCTCTATTTATACTCTTTCCTCAAAATTAGAATTCACAATCAGTATAGTCAGAGATGAGGAATGCTGAAATATCAAATTGAATAATATTTGGAAGACTACAGAATTCCCATTCTGATTTAGTTATTATTGGATTAGGGTTTGTAAACTCCAGGTTCAGCTGCTTAGTCAGTCATGAAGGTCACTGGATAATCTTGGTCCACCAACACACCTTAGGGAATTGTTGTGAAGATATAACTGGTGAGAAAGTCCATGAATGGTTCTCAAAATTCTGTTGGTCATTCCCAATCAACTGCTCAATGGTAAATCCACACATGGCTAAAATCCACTGATTGAATGAGTCTACTCTAATTGGAAGTAATAATCGAATTGTGTACCAACTTGACAGGGCATACGTGAACTAAATCAATAAGAAAGAACTAAAAGCTTTGAGATCTGGATTCCATTTTTCTCCAACACTTTAACAGCTGACAGGACCAAATTCAGCATGTCACCCTTCTTCCAATGTGTACATGTAATAATGGGTAACAGATTTATGTGTCACATCTCTGCCATGTAATCAGAAAAGCATTTAAGGCCTGTCAGGACAAAAACTGCTACAACTGTGTTGGTGGGTTTAGGAAACTAGGCCAGACAATAATTGGAAATGTGGGATGCTGCTTTGACAGAAGGAAAAGAAATATATTTTGGAGCTTATATGTGCAAAATGAGTCAGGAAATCAGTGCACAGAAATTAATTAGTATGCTATTAATATATAGTACAATAACAAATGTACATTAATAGGTATTAATGAATGCTATATAAATACTTTCAAGGCTGCAATCCCAGACAAATAGCTAGGTTCCACCAAATGTAATGTACATAAGGTTCTTGTGGGTTTTTTTGGGCTATAGAGCCATGTTAGGTATACCATGCAGCTGTGGACAAGTCTACATAGGGACCACCAAACGCAGCGTTGCCATCAAGGAACATGAAAGGCACTGCAGTCTACTTCAACCAGAGAAGTCAGCCATAGCAGAGTACCTGATGAACCAGCCTGGACCAACATATTATTTGAGAACACAGAAATGCTGGACCACTCTCACAACCACCGGGTCAGACTACACAGAGAAGCCATTGAAACCCACAAGCATGTGGACAATTTCAACAGAAAGGAGGAAACCATGGAAATGAACAAAATCTTGCTACCAGTATTAAAAAAATCAAACAACAGCAAAATAACAGAGGGGAAACAATCAGGCACATCTAAAAGATTGCCCCAGGCACTGCCAGGCCATCAAATGCTAATCAAGGTGGTCAGTTGAAACATTCACACCTAGCTCCAGCAGACAAGAGTCCTTTGTCCCACCCTGGACATCATTCCACAGATATATAAACCCATTTTCCTAGTTCCAACAGATCTCACTACCTCTGAGGATGCTTGCCATAGATGCAGGCGAAACGTCAGGAGAAAATGCCTCTAGAACATGGCTCTATAGCCCGAAAAACCCCACAAGAACCTAGTGATTCCAGCCATGAAAGCCATTGACAATACATGTAATGTACATAGTTTACTTCTGAAAAACAGACACTGGTTTGCACCACATATGTTTGCATTCATCATTAAAGTGCCCAAAGTTCCTGCAATAATCAACAAAATGCTCTACTATACTGTAACTTATAGGAAAAAATACACATCTAGCATAAGTCAAACTCATGCATCCCTAAGTTTCTCCTCATGTAATCCAATGGGCCCTTGGTATGCACTGGAGTTTGGTCCAGAACTACATACACTTCCCACATGCCAACCTACAGCAATCCTTCACCTCCTCCCATCCTGTCCTCCGTTGAAACTCAAGGATGTAAAATAAGTACAAAACATACAAAAGTAGAATTCAACTATTTACAATGAGAACACAATTCAAATTACACTTAGATTAAAAAACATTTCAATTTAAAACAACAGAACATTCTCTAAAAAAAACCCCAATGACCTAAATGTTTTCTGTTCTAAATGCAAAGTTCTTTGCTGGAGTTATGAACAAGAGAGTGTGACAGTCCCATAAGGAAGCATGACTGTCCCATAGGGAAGTCCACAAACCTTTCAGCTGCTGTTAGAAAGTCTGGCACTAGTAACTTTCAAGCTAGATAACTGCACCACACTGCAAATTATGCCATCTTTAAAGTAGTTGTTTAGGTAAAGGTAAAGGTTTCCCCCTGACATTAAGTCCAGTTGTGTCCAACTCTGGGGGTTGGTGCTCATCTTAATTTCTAAGCCAAAGAGCCGGCATTGTCCTTAGACACCTCCAAGGTCATGTGGTCAGCATGACTGCTGGAGCGGTACTTATTGATTGATCTACTCATATTTGCATGTTTCTGAACTGCTAGGTTGGCAGATGCTGGGGCTGAAAACAGGAGCTTATGCCGCTAAAAAGAGGACAAAATTCACACCAAATGTGTACATGGTATCTTACGATGTATGTACACACATCTAGATATAATTTATGGAGTAGAAATACAACAGATCTCTCTATACTAGCAAAGAGAGTACCAGTCCCCATCATCTGCTCAGCTGTCCAGGTCGCCCAATCTTCTGTGTGCCCAGGAGTTTATGTGGTATGAGGCACTGATTGAGGTTCCAGGTTCTCACCTGCCATTTTTGGACTCTCACTTGCTGAGGTGTTCCTGCAAGTATCTCTGAAGATCTTAGGAAGCCCTGATAAGCATACAGCGTTCAAGTAACAAATTACTGTTCCAGTATATTTATACTATTTTATATATCGTATTCCATCAATTCTAAGATGCCATTGATTGTAAGACACACACTAATTGCAGTACCATTGACAGAATGAATGAATGTATATATATATATCCCACAATTCTAAGACACACCCGCTTTTAGAGTTTATATGAAAAAGGTGAGTCTTAGAATCAAGACTACACAGTAGCTTATTTTGTGATATAACTGCAATTTTTAGTTCATTTTATAAATGATAAGGGTGACATAGTGTCATTAAATATTAATAATCTCAATAAATCATAGATGAAGAACATTACATAATTCAAGGATTGGCCTCTGCTGTTTTCCAGTGCTTGGAAATAATTCATTACAGTAATGCTTATTGCCTGTAACATATCACTTTTCCTATTATAGGGAGCGAAATCGTTTAGTTTCACAGAAAATGCATCAGTGTTGCTTTTTGAACCCTTTCCCCTCTACCTTGTATTTTATGCACTACTCATAAAAGGTTGTGTCCGTGCCTACCTGTCAAGGTAGGTCAAAGATCATTTTTTGTTCTTTTTATTTTTCTTCCTATGAAGGGCATATGACAACCCCCAAGCAACATTAAGCCTGATGGAATACTTCCTTGTGCTAGATCACACTGGAAGAAGCAAAAGAGTTATCCAATGTGAATTGATATTTTCAGTGTGTGTATGAAAGCAACCTAAAACAGGTATGCTCTTTCAAAAGGTGGTGGGAATGAGACGCAAACTATTATTCTTCCAGAGTCTATTTTAAGAGATGGACAGAATTTTTTATATATGCATAAATACACAAACATCTATATACATACAGTGAGGCCTCCATATTTGTGGCTTTGACTTTTACGGATTTGATTATTATGTTCTCTCTAGAAATCACGAAGTCTCTCAATGCAATTCTATGGTCAGCTTCAAGTTTGTTTTGTTTTCTCGTATCAGGAGCGACTTGAGAAACTGCAAGTCGCTTCTGGTGTGAGAGAACTGGCCGTCTGCAAGGACGTTGCCCAGCCTCCTATGGGAGGCTTCTCTTATGTCCCCACATGAGAAGCTGGAGTTGTCAGATGGGAGCTCACCCTGCTCCCCAGGTTTGAACTGCTGACTTTCTGGTCAGCAGTCCTGCTGGCACAAGGGTTTAACCAAGGCATCCTCAAACTGTGGCCCTCCAGCTGTTTGGGTCTCCAACTCCCAGAAGCCCTAATGAGCTTGTTCAATTGTCAGGAATTCTGGGAGTTGAAGGCCCAAACAGCTAGAAGGCTGCAGTTTGAGGATGCCTGGTTTAACCCATTGCATCACTGATGGCTCCAAATGAAAACTGATTATTGCTCTGCAGGATTGAGAGCTTCCTAGACAGAAAATGTATGACTCCAGAAGCAACAAGCCTTTATAAATCTAATTCTGCAGAGATTTTGAGTTCTGACAAAATAATGTCATGTGCTGATTGACTCTGCTACCTGTTAACAAAGTACTTTTAGAACACATCATGACTTCTTCATTGAAACAGTCTGCTAGAATACATATATCTACATATATTACATTATATAATATATAAATAGAACAATCATATAAGAGGCAATTCCAACTTTCAAGAATGGACTTTTGAATATTTACATCATCACTGAAAGTTCAAAAGAAATTACACCTTACTCATGCTTCTATTCAGAGCAATAGCTAACTTCCTCTGTCTTTATGTAAAAATGATTTTTGCAATGCACTGATAAATTTTTGTTTCATCTGTATTTTAAACTGCCGATACCACTCCATAAGCTTTTTTCTCCTTTGAATTTTCTGTTCCAGGGTCAAATTTTGTTCTTTTTCTAAAACAGCGGGAAGTTCCTTCCAGTTTTTAATGAAGATAAAGGGAGCTCCCATGGCCTTCAGTAACTGCAATGGAGCACCATGGTGCACAGAAGAATTGCCACAATTGCCTGGTGTCATTACATCTTCTACTACAGGAACAGAACCAAAGGAACAGGCCTCGAAAATTCTATAGCACTCTGTATTTACTCCCACTGGGCATAGTGTGAGATCACTTTGCAGCAATGCGTCTTGATAATTTCGAAGGCTCTCGTTGGTTTCTTGAGGCCACCACCTAAGAAATGAAAAAGGAGATTGAAAATATTTATTAATTTTATTTATTATTTATTTAGTTGATTGTTACGCTGTCTTTTTCCTAATATAAAGATTCAAGGCTGTGTCTTCAGAAATGAACAAAACATAAAGTCACACTTTCTACATACCCATCAAGTGTAGCAGCAGAAGCAGCAGAAAATCTTAACAATTTGAGGGCTGAATATTTCAAACCATTTTCAAATATTTATGTAGAAGAATACTAACAATAAAAAATTTACATTAACTGCATTATGCAAATAATGCAGTTAATTTTGCTGAACTCTTTTGTAAATTTTACTGCATTTTGCTGAACTCTTTTGTCAAAAAAGTTTATTTCATTACTAAATATCTTGCATTATATTAGATTACTATAATTGTAAATATTATTAATAATATTTACGTTAAGACCGCTCTTCTATTAATCCTACTGAAAACATTAGGAGTTAATTCTAAATATTTTTTTTTGTCGTGTCAGGAGAGACTTGAGAAACTGCAAGTCGTTTCTGATGTGAGAGAACTGGCCATCTGCAAGGACGTTGCCCAGGGGACACATGGATGATTTGATGTTTTTATCATCCTTTGGGAGGCTTCTCTCATGACCCCGCATGAGGAGCTGGAGCTGATAGAGGGAGCTCATCCACCTCTCCCCAGATTCGAACCTGCGACCCGTCGGTCTTCAGTCCTGCCAGCACAGGGGTTTAACCCACTGCACAACCGAGGGCTCCATTCTAAATAACAACAACAACAACAGCAACAACAACAACAACAACTTTATTTGTATTCTGCCCTATCTTCCTAAGGAAACTCAGGAATAATAAAATAGTAATACACAAGGGTTGCATAGCAGGTATTATTCAACATCATTAAAATGGCAAAATAATTTGATATGTAGGACTCCAAACTCATGACTTACTAAAAAAAATACCCTTTTAAAATGGAAAACAGCAGTTGCCAAGCATCTCCTATACTCAATAATGCCCCCATTCCACTTTTTTGAGAATGGCACACATTTGCATTGTATAAAATCATTAACCTCTCTCTTTCCTGGATTACAAAGTAATTTCTAGCCCACTGCCAAATGATTACGTCAGGCTGGTATTTCACGCTCTGCTGCAAGTGGATTTTCTTTTCAAAAAGTTTCAAGAGCTCAGGCAATCAGGGAAAGAGGGCAAGTTATTTCCTGAAGAGAACAAGTCGACAGGCAGGCAGGGCACCCTGTGGAGTTTTCTAAAAAGGAATTTCCACAAACAGCCAAAAATCCTTTTCACAAAGTCACCGTCTAATCTCACCGAAGTGCTTCAGAAAATGGATGAGAAAGCCTAATTTAGGTCAAATGAAGAAATAACTATATTACAGTGCTCAGTTAGATTTCACACTGTTCTCACATGTGAAAAGGTACTGGGTATGGAACTGATGAGTATAAAAATTAGACATGAGTGAAACAAATCATTGTGTGTGTGTGTGTGTGTGTAAGATACAGTTTCCACAGCATATCTGACAAAATGATGTACAAGAATTCAGGGTCATTTATATACAAAGTCGGATAAGTTAAGTTTCCCTTAGCTCAGGGTTCTTAAACTTTTGCTATCAGGACCCCTTTTGGCCCAAGAAATGTATACATGACCCCAAATATATAGGTATATAAAATAAGTATTAAAATCAAACATTTACTGATAACATATCAGCAATTGCAAGGCATGATAAATAGGCTGGTTTTCCTATTTATAAAACACAGCTGGAGAATCTCCTGCAGAATCAACTGTCAAAACTGACAACAGATTCATATAAATGCCTAAAACAGCCACTTATTCAAGTTTAGAAAAAACTTTGGGGACCCCAACATTGAGCTAAGAATCCCTGCCTAACTGAAATGTTTGGGACCCAAAGTATTTTGGACTTCGGAATTTTTTGGATTTTGGAATAACTGTACAGAATAGAATATATTGGAGATTTTTTTTTTTAATGTCAGGAGTAACTTGAAAAAATGCAAGTCGCTTCTGTGGTGAGAGAATTGGCTGTCTGCAAGGACGTTGCCCAGGGAATGCCCGCATGTATGATTTTTTTAAACCATCCCTGTGGGAAGCTTCTTTCATGTCCCCACATGGGGAGTTGGAGCTGATAGGGGGAGCTTAACCCGCTCTCCCCGGATTTGAACCACTGATCTGTTGGTCAGAATCCTACTGGCACAAGGGTTTAACCTATTGCACCACCAGGGGCTCCATCTTGGAGATGAGACCCAATCTTAGCATGAAATTTATTTACAGTATGGTTCTTATCCACATAAGCTGAAGGTAATTTTATGCAATATTTTAATTTTTTTGTACTTGAAACCAAGTTTATGTACACTGAAACATCAGAAAGCAAAACCATAAAATACAAATAGTTGTAAAATAATATTTTTTCCAAGTCCTGTTTTAATAGCTCATTTAAAATGTAATCTTGAGTTGTATACTGTCTAATTTGCTGTAATGTTTTATTATTGTCTGATGTCAATGTTTAATGTACTATTATTTAATTTATGGTAGTCTTATTATTCTTGGTTACACCTTATGGAACTAAATGTTTGCCGCTGTATGGATGTTGTTAACCGCCCTGAGTTCCCACTAGAGAGATATGGCAGGATACAAATAAGGTTTACTATAATCATAGTAATAATAATAATAATAATAATAATGTAATAATAATAATAAAGCTGTTACTATCTCAGCCACCCATGTGGACCATTTTGGAAGATTTCAGAATTCCACATAAGGGATTTTCTATCTGTGCTAACATTTTTATTTTATGGTCACCTTGGGGAAGCATATCTCTGCCGTAATTAGACAGAACAGAAATATTGGTTCTAATCTTGAGGTGAGGTAGATATTTTAATGTATGGGTACTAACATGCTGTTGAACAGTGTCCGTTTCTATCCACATGTGTATATGAATTGTATAACTTCAGAGCATTTTTAGAAAACAGTAGTTGTTTAAATCCAGTTGCTAGTGCCAAATAGAATATACTCAGTTGGGAATGCTTTAGCTGTATATTCCTGCACAGCAGGGGTTGGATTAGATCAGTGGTTCTTAACCTGTGGGTCCCCAGGTGTGTTGGCCAATAACTCCCAGAAATCCCAGCCAGGTTACCAGTTGTTAGGATTTCTGAGAGTTGAAGTCAAAATATCTGGGGACCCAAAGGTTAAGAACCTCTGGACTAGATGGTATTTGTAGCCCTTTCCAACTTGATGATTAAATTAACTTTTTCTTGTGATTTAAAATGAGAAATCAACACATATGAAAATCCAGTTGATTCCGAACGTCTGCTTTGACAGGAACTAGCAGTTGGCCTCAGGACAGGCATGGGCAAAGTATGCCCTCTGCAAATTAAAGCCCAGATAAGGATAATATCACCAATAGTGTGAGATGCTTGGATTTTGGTTTGAGCAATATTTGGAGTGCTACACTTTCCCCACCCCTCATTTAGGCCCACATAACATAAAAGCATCATATTCGTAATGATATTATTTTAAGTAGAATATCATGGTGCCAACACTGTGAAGGCAAAAACCAGCATTTTGAACTTACTCTTCTCTGGGCGAAATCCAACAGAGCTTATTAAGTCCATTCTGTACCAGAACTTCCATGAGGATCTCACGTGTTGAATTCTTATATACAGTTCCCAAGAAATTACACTGGTACAACCTTGGTGATTGCAGCATTGACCAGTTCGGTTCAACTACAGGAAAATTTCTGTAGCTGCAATTAAACAAACAAACAACATAAGTACACTTATGAGTAGAATTTCACTACACATACCCTGCACCTGCCATGTCCAATCTACAACACATTAGCTGTGCTGGATGGGGATAAAGGGAGTTGCCATCTAGTATATCTGAGGACTACTACATAACTCTATATTCCACTGAATTTTATAATACTGAATCCTTGGGTAAATATACACGGGATTGCATAATTCTACAATAATAAAGTTTAAACTGTAGATCTTCCCTGCAGTTCTGTTCTATCAAGAACATCATGGTGACATGATGGTTATACTGCCTTCTCTGTTAAGGGAAACTACAGAAAGATAATTTAGAAATATCTTAACTGTGTTTGCTAAAATCCAACTGGCTTCCTTAAATTTTGCATGCATGCCAGTATTTTTCATTAAAATATTTATATCCTATCTATATCACAAATATATATATATTAAATGTTACTAAATGGAATCTTGGAAGATTTAACCTTCAGTGTAATCCTGTATGTATTGACTTAGAGGTAAATCCTACTGTGACCAATGGAGCTTACTTATTAAATATGAGGTAAGTATTGAAGTCCACTTACGAAAAACTGAAGCTAGCTAGGAAAATGTTTACTTCAGAAAAAAGGTCAAAACCTCCAGACATATTATCACAGTCAAATAATTATTGTAGTATTCCATTAGTGTAGTAAAACAACTGTTTGCATACATAGCAGAACAGCAGTTCCACAAAGACTTATGTTCTATCTTAATCAATATTAACTAAAATACTTACGTTGCTACTCCCAAAGGCCACTGAAAAATATTTTCTTCATTCACTAAGGGACTGTCATAGATTACAAAGAGGAGGTCCACAAACCCTCCATTGTTTTTTAAGTAAGGGTTAATCCATTCATTTCTACACTGCTCACTTCCAAGCAACACAACAGCAACATGCCGCAGCTTGTGAGTTTCTATTAGTGTTTGTGCATAATGCAGCCACTGGGTGGCATAGGAGATCTTTCCTTCTTCTCTGCCATTCAGCACTAAAACCACATTGTCCACTTCTACTGAGAAGTAGCCTGGGACGACTGCTGGACCTGTGATGAAACTGTGAATGACAAAACACAAACATAAAAAAAGTTTTAGTTGTTGCAGGTATTATAAACAATGTAACAGGCCTTCACCCCCCCCCCCCTTTGAAACCTTGCTTTCAGACACCTCACACTTTCAATGCTTGCAAATTACAGAAGAGTTCAATTAATCCAGTGGTTTCCACGCTTTGGTCCGTGGATTTTGGTTTCAGTGGTCCGCAAGAACTAAAATATGGTCCGCAAGAACTAAAATATGGTCTGCGGCCTGTTACTACACCATTGCAACAAGATCAACTGGTGTCTCGAAACCCTCTTAAAGTGCAGAGCGTCAACAAACTTCAAGGATAGCAACAGTCCAAAAAAACAAACCCCAAAACATTTTTTCTTGGTATTTTCGTTTTTAGGCCTGTTCCTGGGCTTATTTGGGGTGCTGATTCAGAAAATTACATTGGATAGACCACATTAGATTATTAAATATGGTTTTCTGTGGGCAAGCAGATGGTGACTACTAGTTTGCATATGTTCTGTATCAGAAACTACAGAGTTGATGAGGTCTATCCAATGCAATTTTCTGAATCAGCATCCCAAATAACCAAACCTAAAGTTGATAAAAAACTGATTCGTAATCCTTTTGGTATTAATATTGGAGAGTGGTCCCTGGTCAAAAAAGGTTGGAACCACTGAATTAATCTAACTAGAGGTTCGCTTTTCAGCCATTCTACTTGCCTATGAAAATGCTTGTGAGCATGTGCATGGTCCCAAAGTTTACCCATGGGAAAAGTGCATATTTCATTCATGTTTGAAACATGTATATAGTAATACATAACAGATAGTGTATTATATTCATGTTTTATAGCAGTCAAAATGCATTAGCAAGTTTACAATAATCTAGGTTTCACTTTTAAACTGATTCTCCATCCTGATGTTGCTCCGGTTCCTAACCCATCAGATAAGTGGGATCTTCCTGTATAATATAGCAGATTGTTGGTGTTGTGTGCTTTTATGTCACTTCCAACTTACGGCAAATCGCAGGTGAATCAATTACAAGATTTTCTTGGCAATATTTGTTCAGAGGTGGTTTGCCATTATCATCCTTTGAGGATGAAAGTGGAAGTTTCCAAGGCCACACAATGGGTTTCCATGGCTGAATGTGAATTTTAACCACTTCCTCAGTCCAAGCTCACCACCCCAACCACAATACCATGGTAGCCCTCTGTTATAGCAGGACAGCTATAAATAATAGTTGTTATGCTGTTTTACTGATGCTCAGTATTCCTTGTTTAGCACTTGTAAAATGTAAAAGCTGCGCATGACTTCTCCAAATGACATTAAGGCGAACATAAAGCTTTGTTCTCCATAATTTGTCAATGTCAGGTCTTCATGACCAGAGCTTGCTGCAGCAAGATTACGTATACAGTGTAAGATTTACCAACTGCTGACAACCATGCGTCACAACAGCACTCCAGATTAATAAATGCTTAGGTTCAAGATTTGTGTGGGTGTAACGTCTTCTTTAGCACATTCACATTCAGTAAGAGAGCTCAATCCAACAAGCAACTGCATAAACTCTTTTTATTTCATGCAGGTTTCCCAAAACAATATACTGAAATGAAGAGAAGTTGGGCAGCAGCATGATAGGCTAAAATGCTTCCAGTATGTATATGAAGAACTGCTGTTTATTTTGCAGTTCATTTGAGTTTCTTCGACTGGACTGCATTATTAACGTTTAACTTGAACTGAGTTCAATAGGTTCACAAAGCAAAATTAAAACATCAACTGAAAATGTAGGATGGAACTAGATGATTGAATTCAGATTGAATTCAAATGATTAAATTCAGTTTGCTCTGATTTGGAGACTGATTCCAAAGACTATTGGTACTCCCCAGATTTTGGGTTTCAACTCCAATGACTGAATGCTACAAGCCATGTCAGAGGGCACCAAATAGGGGAGGCTATCAAAGATTCAGAAGGAGACTGGGTAATATTTTAATGTAGAGATTGTACAGGAATTCTGAATCAGACCAATTCATTCAACTTTTTCTGACAAATTCCCAAAGTGATAATAAGGAGGAAACAAGAGTAATGCCAACTTTTAAAATTGGAGTTCTGAGACTACATTTCAGTTAGTGCAGATGGGAGGCTTGATTAAGAGTGTTCAAAATAAGGTCAAGAATTCTGACATGGGTAGCATTTCTCAAAACTCACAGTAACTAAAAATATTGTTTACATATCCCCTTCCATCAAAATGTAATAGCTCTTTATGTAGGAGTTACCCAACCCTCCTTTCTATTTCCTCTAATTGCTTCTTTTTCCTGTGTTTGTAACATGAGAAGGCATAGTCATATGGCTGGCCATAAACCACCATTGGTTTTTACATGGAATTGATAGTGTGTGCCAAACAATCTTAATAACAGTAATTTCCTATTTCTCTATAAAAGAAGTAGGTATCTCTTGACTTTCCAGATATGGTTGGACTGTAAGTTCCATTAGTCCTAATCAACATTGTGTTTTCTACTATTGTCATCAATCCCAACCCCTACTTTAGTCAAAAATCTGATAATTCACTCTTTTTCTCCTCACAGTCCATTTAGATTCACTATAGCCCCCTTATAAGCCTAGTGTCAATACAAAAATCAGTAGCTTGTGTCTTAACCAGTCCTGCTTGAATGGGGAGATGCATATGGTTCTTGACTTTCATTTGTTCAAATGTCAACTTGGCAGGAGTTTCACAGGGTTATTGAAGAGTTAAAGTGAAACTGTTCCATGATGTGTAGTAGCCAACAGTATGTTGAAATTCTAAATATGTGTTTACAATCAATAAGGTACTAGATGATGACATATGAACTGAGATGGAAGTGACTAAGGATGTGCACTTCTTCAGAAAAGTGGACAGCCTTGTGAAATGCAGCTGTCTTCTGCTGAAAGGGTCATCTTGACTATGTCTCTTTCCTAGATGATGAAGATGTTTATTTATACCCCACTTCTTCTATCCACAAAAGATACTAAAAATGGCTCTTTAATCTTTAAATGCTTTTCACTAATTTAAATTGGATCTCTAGTTGCATCCTTATCTGAAAAAAATAGCAGTAATAGCAATTAATGCCTCAATGGGGCTACTGAGTACCACTCAAAAACAACCACTGGGTCAGAATGTACTCATTGTGGAGATAACAAGCATAGGCCATATGGAGCATATAAAGACTAGAATGCTGTTTGTCCATAGATCATTTTTACCTGAATTAAATAGGACTGCAAAGGGAGGGAGACAATTCTAGGTGATGGTAACAGTGTAAAGCTCTGTAAGTATTTTTTTTACAGAGCTTCTCTATTGCCCTGCTGCACAAGGTAATTTCTTAGTGCAGCCCAACTGCTCAGCACATTTAACAGATTAATGGTGTGGGCATCTGAGCAGCATCTGGTTGCACGTCTGTAGCCAGGAGAGAAAAAAAATCAGGCATCACCCGGAGAGAAGAAACCAACTGCAGTTCTGGAACTGAGTGGAGAGAAAAGACATCACCCTCTGAATGATATTTATTTTCTCTGCAACAATGTCTTCTTTTTCTCCCTGCTATAGCATTGCAGAGAGAATTTGAGTCTTCTTGCTCATAAAATGGCTATTGAGACCAGAACTAAGAAGCTACTTAGATTGGCGAGGAGTTCCTCCAGAAGGTAGTACTCAATACTTCCTTCTACAATGTTCCAACATTAACTAACTACATGGACATCTTTCACCAACTTAATTCTGACCTCTTTTGCTACTACTGGCTTTTTGCGGTGGAGGCATGGGAAACGGTATTCTTGAAATTATAAATGCTGACCTTCTCAACCTCTGAGGATGCTTGCCATAGATGCAGGCGAAACGTCAGGAGAAATGCCTCTAGAACATGGCTCTATAGCCCGAAAAAACCCACAAGAACCTAGTGATTCCAGCCATGAAAGCCTTCGACTATAAATGCTGACTTGGAAACATGCTTCACCTTCTGCTGTGCTGTCATTAAAGTCTACACCATTATACAATTGCCTAACTATCCTAAAAACACCAGATTTCACAGCAGGCAATGGTGATTATTTTTCATACAACCATTTAGGATTTGTTGAGTGCTGGTTTTTTTTCTTAATGTTTGTGGGGTTTTATTGATTTTCTTGCTTGGCTTAGTTTTCCTGTTGTAACCTGCTTATAGCTAGTGATTCTCTTTTATTACATATTATAACTATAAAATTTTCTGTTAACAACTTTGTCAGTCTATAGATCAAACTGTACGGTGCAAATATGGAAACAGAGGTATGTGTTGCTCAATAAAACTAACCTTCTGTGGTCAGCCGGTGTGTGTTAAAGTAAAAGTTCTTTTATATTTTGCATTAAGCTAACTGCTTGCCTTACCAGCAGTGGTAAATTCTGAAAGAAACGAAGGCATTAAGTGCCTAAAATCCAATTTTATGCATATGAACTCAGTAATATCTCCCACTGAGTTTAATATGACATATTATGAGGTATTAAACAGCAGCTTAGCAGAGAAATCCTAATAGGGAAAGGGATTTCTTTGTGGATTTCATACTACATTTGAAGTCCTTCTAATTGACTATGACCATGTGGAAGGTTAGAGGTGTAACTTTTTAAACTGTTGTTATTACCATATACAGGAAGTCCCTGAGTTACAAACATCTGACTTACAAACAAGTCATAATTACAAACAGGGGTGAGACAACTTGAAGTGAGAGAAATCTACCCCTCAGCAGGGGGTAGTTATCACGAGGAAAAGGTGTCTCCACTGAAGCTTTATCGCCAATCCTTGTTTCCACAGGAAGCCCGCTTTTTTCAAAATCAAATGATCACAGGGACAGAAAGTGAGTTGAAATCTTCTGAACAGGGGCACAGACAGCCAAACAAATGCCACAGGGGTGTTAACCCTTCCCTATGTTAACCAAAGATAAATAGATAGATATGAATGGAATTGCACTGAAAATGTACCTGTTTAAACTTAAGAACCTGTTTAAACTTAAGAACAAACCTACAGGT